GGGGGGGGGGGGTAGAGTCAGGTGGACCAATGTATCACTAGTCTTGTATTTTCCTCCTTCCCCACGTGTGCACAGGGCAGATGCATGGGGCCCCATACTCACTGTTCATGGGAGCAGGGTGGTCAGACTACCCCAAACACTTTCGAATGGAGGGAAGAGGAGGAGGAGTGTGGGTGGCTCCCACCTGCCTCTGAAAAACCCTTGCTGAGTCAGGATCATGGGGGGCCCACTTTAATGAACAGACAAGAACCCTTTGAAGGTGGCCTATTTAACGCTTGTGCAGGATTGGGCACTGGTTTCTTCCTCCAAGTAGGTATCACATTTCCCTTCCCATCAGGCTCAAGGTCCAAATGTGCTCAGCAGATCTTCCGAGGGAAACTGGAACCTGGGTCCTGCTCCAGTTATGTCGGGTCTTTCATCCAAGGGTTCTGAATATACCAGAGCAGGGAATATTCCCTTCCCCATGGCTGGGAAACCCATCTCCTTGTTTGGTTTAAGCCCAGGAAAGGGACTCATGGGCAGCTTCTGAAATACACACAATTGCCCATCCAGAGGAAGGTGTTGATGAGATGAATGGTCAGGGGCTCTGTCTGTGTCACCTGGCCTGGAGGGGGTGGCAGAGGGCAGGCAGTGAGTCCTGCTATTTGCTCCACCACCTTGTGGTTGAGCTGCCTTCTCTTTGGGCAGAGAAGAAAGATGCTTTTGTAGGGTGTGTGATTCATCAGGACAAATGGGTGGGCATCCTGTCCTGTGGTTGTGTAGGCTCTTCACTTTTGCATTCCCATTACCTAGCACAGTGCCAGGCACATAGTAGGTCTGGAGGGAAATTAGGGGCCATGTGCTAACCCAGTATGGATATGGGAAGTTGCAGGGGTGACTCTGCACCCCAGGATGATTGACCATGCTGGGCCCTGGGCACCACAGCTCTCTGGGTAGCCATATAACATGGTGGTGGCAAAGTCTAGAATCAGCCCATTTGCTTCAAATCTTAGAGTCACTGCTTTGTAACTTTAAATACTTAGGCAAGTTATTAAACCTTTCTGAGCCTTAGGTTCCTCTTCTGTAAAATGGGGATAAAAATACTTCCTGACTATGCTGTTGTGATGATTGAATGAGATTAGAGCACTTAGAATGGTGTCTGCACTTAGTGGGCACAAAATAAATATAAGCTCTCATTAATTATTGTTTCATTCATGACCTTAAGATGGGATGGGAACTGATGACCCTGGGTTCTTGTCAGCAATATGATTCCATTTGTCATTAGTCAATAATTCTACTACTTTCTGGCATTGTCATATTCATGACATGGTTTATGAGTTGCCAAGTCTGTGATCTGCCACATGATGGCCCTGGGGACCCACTTTCTCCCTGTTCCTGGCATGTCAGAAGCCCCCCAAAGGCCCTGGCTCAGTGCCCGCTGCCCTGGCCAGACGCCCATCCATCTGTCCCAGTCCCTCCACCCCACTCTCACCATCTGTCTACCAGTGCCCATTGGTCTGAGTAGGTCTTGGCGCCAGAAGACAAATAGCGCGTTATCAGAGGCCATTGTAGAGGGTGATGGATTGTGTGCCATGAAGCCAGGCAGGCTGGGCCAAGCTGGGGCTAATGGGACAGAGTACAAATCATCGGGCAATGAATGGCATTCATCATGGCCTGTTGCCTCCAAGGCCAGGTGATACCTTCAGTGGCTCAGGGATGTCACTCCTCCTGAACACAACGAGCAAATTAATGGAGGCTGACCTCGCCCCAGTGCATGGGGGGCTGCAGGTAGGGCCTTTCATCTCAGGCCCAGCCTCTGAGAAGGTGGCCTCCCTCCCAGTCTCTCTGCTAACACTCCAGACTCTTACTCAAGAACTTCCCCGTTCCCTATGACCCAGCTTAGCCAACCTCGCAGCCAGATGCTCCGTGCTCCCAGTTCCTCTCCAGACTTACTGCCCTTCCTTCCTCACTCTTCCCTTGTCCTTCTACCAAACCCATCTGCTGGTCCTAAGTCAACTCTAGCTTTGGCTCAGAGCATTGGGTCTTCTCTGCCAGTCCATGCTCAGAGTCTCAGAGACTCACCTTGAAATCTCCTCCTTCAGGAAGCCTTCCTAGATTCATACCACTCCTGATCTAACTTCCCTGACGCCTGCGTTATAGCGAGCACTTCATGGCAAGTGCCTTCCCCTCAACCCAGCTATATGATAAGCACTTTTAAAAGCCTGCAGATGTTACCAACAATAATACTACTATTCAGTAGTGGTGTGGCACTCTACAGTTTGTGGAATATTACCACAAAACTTAGTGCATTAATCATAATGGATCCTTGAGGCAGATGTCATACCCCCTAACTTTACAACTGAGCAAAGTGAGGCTCAGGGGCATGCTCATCTCTGTGGCTACTGTGCATCCACACCCAGCCAGGACAAGACTGAGCACCACTGTGGGCACCCAGTCAGGCTTCTCCAAGTCCAGTGTTCATTCCCCACCCCACTGCAGCCCTCCCTAGTGAAGACAGCAGGCCAGTGCAGCTGCTCTAAGTTGTGGAAGCCTCCTCTCCCCGCAGACCCAGCTTCAGAAACTGGTGCCTGGCCTCCCTGCTAGCACACTGGGTCTGCTTCTCCTCCAGCACGTGCCTTGTGCTCTGCCTCATAGTACATGTGTCTGTGGACTTGACTCCTGGGTCCCCTAGTGCCTTGCTTAGGGCCCGGTGCATAGTAGGTGCTCAATTAATGAGTTGGATTGAATCGAGGAGCGGCCTAAAGAGGAAAATAAATCACCAAAGACTGAATGAACCTCCTTAAGACCCTCAGGTGCAGGGGTCCTCCCACCTAGCCAGCAGCAGCATCCCCAGGATCCTGATTAAAGAGGCCAGGGTGAGGGCTCAGGGGTCACACCCCAAGTTAGAAAAGGCATGGTCTCGATAAGGCAAAGCCAAAGACCTAAATTTCCCATGTAACTCTCCTGTGCCTAAGTTCTCTCATCTGTACAAGTGGGTCTTAAACTCTTGTGAACATGAAATAAGACCATTATTCAAAAGCCCTTTGTAAAAAAAAAAAAAAAAAGTTATACAAGTATGAGTCATATTTGCAGTTAAGCAGTATTTTCACTGAGGTCATGTTGAGATGGTATTGAAGACGTATCTGGAAGCCAGGTCGCCTGGGCTCCAATCTGGGCTCCAGCACTTACTGGTTTTTCTCTGTGCTCTGTTTCCCTGTGTGTACGATGAGGGTACAGCGCCTGCCTCAGAAGGCGATTGTGAAGACTGGGTTCCTATAGCTCAGATACTTCTGGCAGCGCCTGGCAGAGCTCGCTGACCCTACACTGCCAGCTTCGCCCAGAGCAGCAGCCTTTCTCCTCCCTGATGCCGCAGCCCCGGCTCAGCCCCGGCTCTGCTGATCTTTACAGCAGCAAGGGCTGGGGCGACCCTCCCTGTCTCCTACCACAAAGCAGGGCAGATAACTACCCAGCACACTTGCCACGTGCCCCTCCTGTGCCCATGGCAGATGCTGTTACCTATTCACAGCTCCCTTTCCCACCACAATTTCAGCATCCTCCTCAACACAGCACTCCCTCTGTGGAATGAGGAATGAGGAATTGCTTAGACTAGAGAGGCTATGTCTCTGCTATTCTGCCTTAGGGCATGGCTCTGTGTGAGAATCCTGGTGGGGGCAGGTGGCGGGGCTGTGGTGACCTGGACTCTTGCAGGAGCAGAGTGGGGTACTCACCAGAGATGTTGGTGGCCGGGGACAGGCTCTCGCAGTGCTGGTCCTGGAGGAAGGCAGAGGTGGGGTTCAGCCCCAGGAGGAGAAGGGCCTGTGGGCACAGGGGGCCGAAGGACATGGTTAAACTGCCTCCCCTCTCTTCCCTGTCATCCATGTCTCTTCCCAGGCACCCCCTTCCAACCTCCAGCCTCCTTCCTCCCCCAAGACCCCTGCCCTATCCTCTCTGCCTGGTCTACAGCCGTTTCGCTCTTGGAGAGTCCTGAAAAGGAGGCTGGAAAGAGCAAGGGCCCAGGTTCCCAGGGCAGGTGAATTTTCTCCCTGAGGGCTGGGGGACCCCCAGTGAGAAGAAAGGCCCCCAAATAAACAATCTGCCTAAGGAAGCTGCCTCCATCCACATGGGATCCCGAGCATGGCCCAACTGTGTCCCAACACCCTGAGCACCACGGATCATAGATTCTCATTAGTGCACCTCCCTCTCCTCACCCTCCCCTCAGAGCTGCAGGCTCTCCTGGCCTCCTGTTCAATGAGCTGCTTCTGGGCCCTCATCCCTGCCCAGCTAATTACCAGTCCCTACAACTTGCACCTCACCATTTATCAAGCCTTTTTACACCTGCAGTGGCACTTAATTTTCCCTGGGACTGGTGTGGCTGTCCCTTTTTGTAGATGAGAAAACTAGGGCCTAGAGAGGGGAAGGAATAAATGTGCCTGGGAAGACAGCTGCCCATCTCCATGGAGACCCTTCACCCCTCGAAATCTCCAGGGGCCCTGGGTCACTCTGATTCCAGAATTTCAGCCCACTGGGAGGGGAGTGGTGTAGGCCCCACACCTGGAGGGCTGTCCCTTCTTCAACTAACACCCCTACACAATCATTGTGTCCCCTCCCTTGAGGTCACCACCCTTCCTATGGATTTAGAGTCAAAAGAGACCTGGCATCCAGCCCTGGTTTCACTGTGTGGCCATGGACAGGTTACTTGACCTCTCTGTGCCTCAGTTTCCCCTCCAGCTTTTATTAAAGACTTGCACCGTGCCAGACCCTGTGATTTTCACAGCCAGAGGGAAAATGAGATGGGGAGAGGGAGGGGCTTGTCCGAGTCCCAGCCAGCAAATGGCTAGTTTAGATTAGAGCCAGGGTGGTGTCTAGCTTCACACATCCATCATGCCCAGTCCTCACTCACAGGGCCCAGAATAGGGTGAGGAGAGCGAGGCACTCACCTCTGGTGCAGATTTTAAGGGGGCACCAAAACTTAGTGCTCAAGAGAAATAATATTTTAATACAATATTTTTTAAAACTCTAATGCAAAAAATCCACAATCAACAAAATATTTAAAACTTAAAAAAAAAAAAGACAAGATCAATAACAGTGCTGGGCCATATTGGTGCTTGGGGTAAAAGGAAAGATCAGTAATGTTAAAATATTATTTATCTTGATTACGGGGATTCTGGGCACCTCCTTAAATTTTGCACTTGAGGAGAATGCCTCAATGGCCTCACCCTAGTCCTGACCCTGCCCTGCTCACATGCCTTCTGCCCAAGCTGAACTCTACCATCCCCTATTCCACCCTCCTATGGCTATACCTCCTCCTTTCCTCTGGACTCCTCCCCACCCACCCCTTCTGGACCTCAGGACCTGCCCCTCCCATCCTTAGAAGCAAACTGATTTGGGTTTTTCCAGAGGCAAACATTCCATGCTTACCTGTCTCAAATGTCCTCTCCTACCCTGTCCCCCTCTACCCCTCCCAGTGCCACCCACTTTTCCCAGTACCTGCTCCTTCCCATGTCTGTTCGATGACAAAGACAGGCTCTGCTCCCTCTCCTACCCTGCATTCCAAGGTGGAATCGAGTGCTCCCCAGTCCCGTCAGCCTGTCCTGCCACCACCTCCTTCAGAAAGCCCCCCTTGACTCTGATAATTCACATACATCACCCCCTCAGTGCCCTGCCTGAGTCCTTAGTGGGCTTGTTGACTCTATTCACTTGCTGGCACACTCCTGCCACATCATTAGAGGTCTCTGTGCTTTTACTGGGCCAAGCTCCCAAGCACCCCCCAGCCCTGCACCCCCATCCTATGCCCAGCACTCCAGGTGCTCAGCAAACAGTGCTGGCGTTAGCCAACTCACTCCTGGGGCTCGGGAGATATTAGAACAAACCCATTCAACTCTCAGCCCCGAGGAACTTCCAACTCTTTATTAATCAGTAATTAAACTTCACAGTCACCAGAGAGATGGTGAAATATCTTTACTCTATTTTCCAAAAGAAAACGCAGAAACGGAGAGAAGAGGAAGCCACCAGGCCAGCCAGTGGCTCTTGCTGGCAAAGCAGAGAGCAGAGTCCTCAGGGACAAACCTGCACTGCTCAGCTCAGCACAGTCAGTAGGGACCCAGCTCTGCCCTGTCCCCAGAGAGGAGCTGGTTAGCTGGGATGGCCAGAGGCTCCTTCTAGGTAGAATGAGACTAGGACTCCCTGCCCCCAGCTTGTCGCCCCACCCCACTTCTGCCACCTCCCAACACAGGCACACAGAGAATGGAAGTGGGGCTCTAACAGCAAGCTCAGCCACAGGCAAATTAAACAAACTGGAAACAACCTATCCTGGAGTATCAGTCCTGCTGCCTGACATCCCACCATTATCCTTCTGATCCTGAAGTTGTGCTTTGTGCTCCAGTCTTCCTATCCCCTTTGAAGGCACACCGCATTCTATTCCCATTGAATTGCTCATCGGTACACGCATCGTGCAAGTGTCTGCACACCTGTGCTCTCGCAGTTCCTTGCCTCTCCTCACCCTGGCCCACCCTTGCCCTGGTGAACTCTGCAGTCCTCAAAAGCCAGTTCTACTGCCCCTCCCCTTGGCAGTGCCTTCCTCAACCCTCCAAAGTAGAGCAAATCAATCACCCGTCAGCGTGCCCACGTCCTTTCTGTCCATGCACTGGACTCTGGTGCTCATGACGCTGGCAGACGGAGACCCTGGGCTAGTCCCAGATGCATGAAACAGCCTCAGTGCAAAGCACTTACACCCCAGGGTTCTAATTAGATGGCAGATACAGCAGCCACATGTCTTAGTCTCGCATCTTGATGTCCTGGGGTTCATTGAGGAATTGAGCAATCCAAATTCATCATGAAACCAAACCAAACACCATGGGTCAGAGGGCCAGCCTGTCCTTGGCTAGCTGCCTACAGCCCTGACCCTTCCATCTCCTTCTTGGATATGATGGTTCACAAAGTCATTTTCTACTGAGAGGGCCAGCTTTGCATTATGCAAAGAAAAAGGCTTCTTAATATTCCCGACCCAACCTTTCTGCTCAGGAAAGGTCAGCTCTGTACAGAATCTGCCTGTGTCTGTGTCCCCTCTTGCTCTGCGGAGGGTTTGAAACGGCTCCTGGCTTATTCCTGAGTCACACTTCCATGAAAAATCAGGAGTTTCCTGTGTATTTCCTCCCACCACATGTTGAGCTCCTTTCAGCATTCACTGCAGTTTTCCATCTCCATCAACAGGCAATGGCGCATTGTAGGAACAGGCTCCCGAGTTTCAAGGATGCCATTTGTTTCCCTCTAGGGCTGAGAGCTCTTACTCTGGGGTCCACAAGCACACAGGGTGGGGGGCACGAAACCCTGTAAGTAAATGGCCAAGTTGCTTGTAATGACAACCATTTTCCTGTGGAGGGTGCACAGCATCCTCCACTTCTCAAGGAGGCCTAACACCCCCAAAATGCCAGAGCATATGACCGATGGGGTCACGTCAGAGGCTCGGGCCTCACCAAACCAGACGTGTCATCCTCCCTGAAAGCAAACCAGGTTTGACCAGGGCATCGCTTTCTTGGGTCCCTCCTCCTGTTCCTCCCCTCCAACATCAGTCCTGCCGCTCTCCTTTTAGAACAATTTTGGACAAACCAAGTGTTCAGGACTTCGTAAGGTTTACCATTTTCCAACAATGGCATCCAGGATCCAAAGCTGGTGGAGCGCTAGGCTCACTCGCCTGCACCGAGGGGCGCTGCACTGCAGAAAGCAGGCGGGGTAGGTCTCATGCCCCCCATTTTATAGGGGTTTTACAGTTGAGGTGCTCAGGGTCACTGAACTGTTTTCAACTGTTGAGTGAGGACTAGGGCCCAGTAAGCAGGCAATCTATGTCTAAGTGGATGAAAGATAGAGGAGGGCAATGGCCCAGGTCAGGACAGAGCATGGGAAGAAGGGATGGATAGAGGAGGGTGCAGGATCGGGCACAGGGTGGGGTAGGAGGGCCACAGTCTGTCAGCTGCCTGCTCCAGCTGCTGCCCTTGCCCCCACCCCCAGGCCAGCACAGAGCATGGCTGGAATTGAAGCTGCCATCCCAAATCCCAGCGTGACTTTGGCTTAAAGGTTAATCACACCCAGAAAATGCTTATTAGAGACCATAAATAACAACGTTGCTGAAGCTCGGCTTGGTCTTTAAGGCACAAAGTGCCATTTCCCTTGATGGGATGATTTGGTAATTAACCTTCCAGAGAGGGCTCTGGAGGGGAAAGAAGGGTGGCCTGAAGTCACTGGAGGCTGCCCCCTCCTTCTAAAAGTTGATGAGGAGCCAGGAGAAGGAGGCCTGTCTTCCTGCCCCTTCACAGCAACCTCTGGTGCTCAGCTTGGGAGAGCCCCCCAGCCCCCAGGAAAACCTCTGACAGAGCTGCAGCTGCATGGTTTGAGAGTGATCCTCAGCAAGTTTCCTTCTCTGTCTGCTGAGTTCTGAGCCCAGTCCTACCCACTGACTGTGTGACTTCCGGGGAGTTAGTTGTCCCCTCTGGGCAATGAGGTCTTTCTTACCTGCATCCCAGGGATGTGGGCCACCTGGGGGGAAAATAGGAGTAAGATGCTTTCTGCAATTTAAAGTCCCCCACAATGCCTGGCAGGGTGTGGCTCAGTGGTTGAGTGTCAACCTAGGATCCAGGCAATCGGGGTTCGATTCCCAGTCAGGGCACATGCCCGGGTTGTGGGCTCGATCCCCAGTTGGGGACGTGCAGGAGGCAGCTGTTCAATGATTCTCTCATCATTGATGTTTCTATCTCTCTCTCTACCTCTCCTTTCCTTTCTCTGAAATCAATAAAGATATATTCTAAAAAATTAAAAAATAAAGT